TCCAGCCCCCCAGCGGCTTCGATCTCCCCAGCGCCGGTTTCGAAGAAGGTAACCCCAACTTCCTGCCCACAGCCGCAGTCCCAGACGCAAGCGCCGAAGTCATTGTCTCACCGACCTCTGACCGCCTCGCTATCCTCGAGCCCTTCGACCCCTTCCCCAAGGGCGATCTATCAGGTCTGCAGGTCCTATACAAAGTCAAAGGCCAGTGCACGACCGACACGATCTCCGCCGCAGGCCCATGGTTGAAGTACAAGGGCCACCTGCCCAACATCTCCGCGAACACGCTAATCGGCGCCGTCAATGCCGCGACTGGCGAGACGAACGTCGCCTACGACGAAGCCGGCAAGAAGTACGGTATCCCGGAGCTAGCGGAAGCGTGGAAGGAGCGCGGAATCTCGTGGCTCGTTGTTGCAGAGGACAACTACGGCGAGGGTTCTGCGCGCGAGCACGCTGCGTTGCAGCCGCGTTACCTCGGCGGCCGGGTTATTGTTTCTAAGAGCTTTGCCCGTATCCACGAGACGAACCTTAAGAAGCAGGGTGTTGTGCCTCTTACATTTGCGAACCGGGAGGACTATGACCGTATTGATGCTTGCGATAAGGTTGATACCGTTGGTCTGTATGATGTGCTGCAGGCTGGTGGACAGGGTGAGATCAAGCTGCGTGTTACTAAGCAGAAGACTGGGGAGGTGTTTGATGTTCCTGTTCAGCACACTTTCAGTCGGGACCAGTGTGCATTTATCCTTGCTGGTAGTGCTCTGAACTTGTTGGCGAAGAAGGCTCACTCTTAAAGAGAGGGGAGCAAGTGGAGGTGGATTTCAGACTGTTTTGACACCATAAAAGTGGGTTGTTGGGTGCGATCTGGAGTTGATGATTTGGTTGGGTTGCATTATAGTAGTCCCTCACCTTGTATATGGTGGATTTTGGTGGTTTCATATTTGTTTTGCCGACTAGATATCCAATGTGATCTGTATTCTACTGTTTGTTGATTCACTAGAGTGTAAGTGGTGCAAGAGGAAGTTGGTATAGTAGTAAATAAGTACTCGGCTGAGATGGCCAAGTCATTTGATTGAGCGCAATTCATTCATTCATTGTATGTCATGGTATATAGTTTTGAAGCTGTGACATCAGAACGAGAAAGAATTCATGACCGAAGAAGAGAAATAAAGGGGGGAAAAGCAGCTGGACATGAACTGAGGATGGGAATATCATAAAAAGCATCATGATGCCTGGTTCTTTCATAAGTAATGTGATGGCCAGAACAGTAGCCACCTCGAAAGGGAAGTCGAGTAACCAAGAGAATGAGAATGAAACCCAAATAACCAAAACCACGGCATAATAAACACCGACGTCTAGAAGACCAGAAAAAGAAAAACAAAACACCAAACACAATCGTATGTCCTGGTTGCCGAGCCTCGGAGATCCTCAGACATTCCTGAGAGCAACCTATATCTGAACGCCAACAAGCCTTTTCTATACAGGCACAATTGAAAACAAAAGAAGCGGCTTTATGCAGATGGAATGCATCATGCAATATCCTTTTTGAAACCTGAAGCAGGGAAAGAAGAAGAAGAAGAAGAAGAAGAAGAAGAAGAAGAAGAAGAAGAACAACGAAGCAGAACATACCATATCATCCAGTCCACTTCTGATCAGAGTACCCAGGGTCCCCAGCATTGACCCCCAACATCTGACCAGAGTTACTGACACCGTACATACTCCCCTGGTTACCACCGTAACCACCACCCATCCCCGAATCATCCTCATCAAAGCCAAACTCCCCACCAGAGCTAGCATCAAAGCTACTCCGCCCACCAATATCACCCGCATCATCACCCACGGCCGAAATCTGGTCCCACTGTAACGTCTGCAGAGCCGGGTACTGTGCTAGAAGAGCAGCAGGAAGAACGAAGTTTCCCGTCGATTGCCCATCCATGCCGGGCATGTTAGGCATAACGAGCGGCTGGGGGATAGGCTGGAGATGGCCGGATGGCGATTGTTGTTGCTGCTGCTGGCGCTCTAGCAAGACACGGTCGCGCTCTTGCGACTCCTCGTCGAGGAGAGGCTTGATGCATACCCGGCCTGCCTCCGAGCGGAAGTGGCGGCCCAGAGCATCTGCACGGGCGAAGCGGCGGCCACAGCCCCATTGTCCGCTTCGCGAGAGCTCGCCGCGGCAGACGAATTTCTTTTCGCCGGAATGGAGGCCTTCGTGGCGTTTGCGGTCGTGCTGCCGTGCAAAGGCTTTACCGCAGACTGTGCACACGAATGGTCGCTCGTCAGTGTGGGTGCGAAGGTGGGATCGCAGATTGTATGCGCGGGTAAAGCGTTTCGGACATAGGGTGCACTGGAAGGTAGCTGGGTGTTTCTGGATTCGCTTTGGCTCCCCGGGTGCTGCTCCTGGTCTTTGTGGATCAGCGAGATCGAGGATGTAGTTCCGGTTCTCGATTGATGAGGTAGAGAGACGTCGGTTTGATCGTGAGGGCGAGGGATCTCGCGAACTGGGGCTACTGCGCGAGTGAGAGCCAACCGATCCAACAGGAGACAAAGATCGTGGGCTGGCAGGCGCGCGGGGCTCCAGAGACGTTGCTGAAGCTGCAGGAGAGCGTGGGCGTGAAGCAGGGTGATAAGGATCAGATTTGCTACGAACACGAGATCCTAAGTCCTTGTTAGTATCGTATTAATCAAAACGGTTGGAAATCAGCACTTACGCATAGCGGGAGGGCTCAATGAGTCAAAATCCGCCGTTAATTTGGATGTATCGAAGTTTGGATTCCGTAATGGCGGGGCAAATTCAACATTGATCGATGGAGGAGCCATCTGTGAAGCTTGACCGATGTCACCCGGGGGATTGTTCAATTGGTTCATGTTCATCATGTCCTCTTGGGGCATTCCGTACATGTCTGTCGGCGCCGAGGGGAATTGAGTGAGATATGAAGTATTCGGCACCATCTCACCCCCCTGCTGTGGCATCAACCGCGGAGAGATATACGGGCTGTGGAGAGGACTGATCCCCTGTTGATGCTGCTCTGACAACGTGAATGATTCCATGCCTAGGCCATTGTCATAAAGACTTGGATCGCTTTGGGGAGCCAAAGAAGGCGATGCATTGTTCTCAATGCCATCGAATTCGTGCTGAGACAGGTAGGGGGAGTGGTTGGCCGAAGATACCTCGGACACCTCAGACGGTGCACGTCGATGGCCCTGGAAGGAAACATTATTCATAACCGACTGCCAGTCTGGACCTGGCTGGGCGGTCAAATACGCCGCAGTAGCTGGGTCAAGGGAAGTGTGTCGTGAATGCCGAGGGGTATAGTATGCATTCGGTGTGGATCCTGGAGGAGACATGGGGCCAGGCGAGGAATGCTGCTGATCTTGCGATGATGGATGCGAAGATACAGAAGGATTAGAGATGGGGCTAACGAGATCAGCGGGATTGATTGCTTGGTTGATCGACTGGCGCTGGTGCATTTGCGGGTCTAGCAACAACGAAGAATCATATTCGGGGGTGGAAGCGCTGTTGGGGCTGTGATTCTGGTAGAGAGAAAAGTCCAATTCTGGATTGGAGTTGAGCATATTAGAGAAGTTTTCGTCGCCCTGCATCGGCCTGAGTCCCGTGGAAGAGTGCTCAAGCTGGTTGACCAGGCTTGTCTCGAACGACTGCGATATCGGAAGGTTGTTGGTATTGATGGTTGGAGCATAGCTCTGGTCCGTCGGCGGCGATAATGTCTGTGTCGGGGGCACCCCAGCCAGGTAGCTTGGGTATGCATATGCTTCAGCACCACCAATGTTGCCGTCGGGATTGTGAAAGGAGGGGTTTGTCGAATAAGAGGCCATGGAGGGGTCAACTCCTAATCCACCGGAGTTGGGGTCGTGATATTGTTGGCCATGCGGCGAAGGACTCATGCTCCGATGCTTCATATCCCCCGGGCAATAAGCCGTGCCGTGGTTCTGGTCATGCGAGGCCATGTTGCGAATGCGCGCGCCTGAGGCCTCTTTCACGAGCGCTAAGGCGGAGCTGTAATGAGAGACAACGGACGGAGTAGGGATCAGATATAGCGCAATGATTTGGCGACGCGGGTAGATTAGACGAGCAGATGTGTCAGGGTCGTGAACGCCTGGTGATGTAGGGAGAATGGTGTCTGACGACGTGGTGGGATGTCATTCGCAAGGGTCCAGGATCGGGTCGGGCACGCGAATTAGCCTCTGAGCTAGTTGTCAGCGGTCGCCAGACTGCCTCATCATCTCTCAGAGCAATGATACCTTCAGTTTAACAATAGGTCCGCAATGAGAGGGTTGAATGAGGGAGGAGTTGAAGGTTAGGCGTTTTCACGTGCGCAAGGCGGTCTAGGTTAAACACGTCTGTTGTATAGCAAGTCGTGTGTTGTACATACGGAGTAGACCGTCGAGTTATGGGGATAATTATTTTAATATAAGATATTCCCATAATATTCCCTTGTGGGTGCCCTAAGCGTAAAAGAGACAGAAAGAGTTCCCACCTTCTTCTATTACTCCGTACAAGTTCCTCCAAAAGAACCCCAAATGGGTCTCTCCCCACATTGGCATTATCAGTGTCCACCCTGATAGCAGATAGGCGAACACAGACTATTTTTATACACATATATGCATTCTCAGGGATTCAATTGAGAAAAAAAAGCGCTGCCTATTGAATGTATACATGTTAGGCCCTGAAGCAGTTGATCCCCGATCTCTCAAAGTGGAGGTGAACACTAAAAAGGACTTGGCCTTAGCTTTTGCACAGCCACCCAGCTGAGGCCCATTGGGGCTAGTCCTATTTAGGTATAAGGGATATAAGATATTGGGCAAGGCTCATTCCAACAGTCTGCCTTGTCTATAATTTGTACTTACAATTCAATGTTTCCTAATTGTTGCCTAACTTCATCTCCCTTGCATAGCCCAGATCTGATACGAGCCAAGTATCAAATCAGGTGACAGGGCCAAACCCTATATGCTTCGTCACTGAGGTGAGATATTGATATACGAAACTCTCACAGACCACCCAATGTATCTAGACTAGCCCTAGCCTGGTCATTCGACCAAGCAAAGAACAAGTTATCATCACAGCTGCTCCCAAGTCCCGCATTATCAACCCAAGCAGGTTCCCAGTAATAAATTCCCAATCCACCAACATCCTCCACAGTCTTAGCAAGCCTCTGAAGGAAAGTCTGCTGCCCAGCAACCGAAAATGGAATATCCTTGAGATCCGACGGGAATGCAAACTCGGGCTTGGGACAACTAAACGGCCAGTTCGTCTCGACAACCAGCGTCTCCTTCTTGTACGTAGAGTGCAGTTTCGTGAGACTCGTCTTCAGCGCAGCGAGCGTCGCATCCGCATTGTAGAAGGGGTAGTAAGAGACGCCAATATAGTCGAAGTCCGTGGAGAGGAGCCCAGACCCAGATGCCAGAACTTGATTGTAGAAGTACGACTGGGCGGCCCAGTCCCAGCCGTTGTCGAGGTGGATCATGATCTTGGGAGTTGTTTCCAGCTTGGAGTCTTTCACACCCCACGCGGCGGAGTGCAGAAGCCGCGCGATGTTGCTGTAGCTGTTTGTTGCGCCCAGAGGCCATAGCAGGCCGTTGCGGATTTCGTTGCCGATGGAGACGATGTCTACATCGATCTTGTTGGCCGCGAACGTGTTGCATACGTTCAGTGTGTAGTCGTACACTTGCCCGGCTAGGATCCCAATGTCAGTTGTGGACCAGCCCGAGGGAGTTGTCTGAAGAAGTAAGTAGGTCATTCCTTAGGTCGAACAGTTAGTCTCGCGGGGGAGTGTTATTTTCTTACCTGGGCTTTCGGATCCGCCCACGTATCACTGTAATGCAAGTCAAGATAGGTGCCCATGCCCTGCGCCTGCACCCTCTTCGCGAGCTTAACGTTATAGTCCAGGTCGTATGATCCATCACTGGGGTTCACCCAGATACGCTGCCGAACAGAGTTGACGCCGCTGGCTGATAGGATGGTTTCCAGTTTTTCCGGTGTGCCAGCGAGGTTTTTGTAAGAAACGCCTTTACCTTCCTCGACGAGGAGAGAAGAGATATCAGCGCCATTATAGGTTAATGCGGCCGATGTTGAGGCGAAGAGCTGTGCGGCAGCTAGAAGGAGGTAGGGAATCATGGTGGGGAACCACTTAGAGCTGAATAAAGTCAATCCAGATCGATGGCTCTGTAAAGCAGAGGGCGCAATTGTAGAGAATGGCCTTTTTATTCAATCTACCCTCCTACGTACTTGGCATCTTTCTAATGTATAGCGGATTTCAAATTTCTCCGAAAATTTCCCCATTATGTCTCATACACGACTCGAAGGAGAAAATTGTCCGGACTTAACCCTTGAAGCTTTCTTAGTTCCCGTTGTGAAACAGGAGCTGAGACATCGGAAGAATAAATTAATGACGATATCTATGCATACTTGGATGAAGACTCCGATATGGGGAAGTCTGCAATGCTCTGATAATATCATTGGTGGAAGTATATTGAGATTGCAAAGTGAAACAAGGGGCATATCATCCCACGTGGAACTCCGAGAACTAAAAGAATCACATCTATAACTATGACGAAGTATGGCACCCATTTTAGACACGGAGTCTTCCACAGGGTACAGTAAACAGGTTCATCTCAGGGGGAGGGATAATCCAAAGTCCCAAAACCCCAAATATTTCATTTCTTCATCACACGCTAGACATCTCCCCTCCCAGCATCGTATATCAGTCATGTCACAATTGCTCAAATTCCCCAAGAGACACACTCTGCAGCCCCTCGAAGATCAAGGAATCCAAGATGTGGCCCCAAACCCAACCCGCCCGGTTTTGACAAAGTCAACATTACATACAGTTAAAGAAATAAAAAGCAATCTGGCCCCTCATCCATGCATAAGACCAAGAAAAGAAGAACAAAAAGAAAAAGAGACCCCTGAAATGCACTGCGGGATTCTCTGCCCTACATATTCATAGTCACAGACACTGATCTCAACGGAACAGAACAGATATGCAGATGCAGCCGCTCGGAGGGCAACGAGGAATGCTTCACAAGGAGGCACCAATGGATGTCCATGCGAGTTCAAATATATGTACAGACCATGTAGAATGTATGGAACAATTTCTAGATCCAATTTCCAGATATCAGCCTGCCGGGAACCGGACTGGAAAGAGAATCACAACGAAGTTTCGTGATATACAACAACTTCACTAGTATAGTTAGGAAGCGTCGAAGGAAGGAGGAAGTGGTAGATAATGTGGGTGTTATAAAGGTGGCAGGCGGGGCGGATCAAATGTAAAGAGGTGGACTGGACTGGACTGATCGGGACCGGCCACATGTCAGTTCCGATAGCTACGACGGAATATCCGATGCAGCAGCCTTGGGAGGCGGCTTGCGTTTTCCGATCACAAGGCCTTCATCTTCCGACTCATCCTCGTCTTCGTCATCGCAGTAGTACCTCGACTCGTCCTCTTCGGACGAGCGAAGCGAGCTGGGACGAGGGGGCTTGAGTGTCTCTCCGGTTCGGAGCATGGAGGGTACTTCGTCCAAGTTATTGCCCTTGGCCGAGTAACCATCACCGGAAAGAGACGATGCGTTTGAGACGACAGACGGAATGCTCGGGTGGGAGGCACTCTGGGACATGCCGCTGGTGAAGTCGTCGGCAGAAGAGGAAGAGATGGTCGCCGAGGTGGAATTGGCTAACCCATTGTTGGTGTTTTCGGCAGCACATCCTTGGTTGGTGGCTGGAGTGATGGGCGGCAGGAGGAGCGATTCAGTAGAGTACATCGCGTAGTCAACTCGTAAGGTACCGCCTTCATTTGCCTCGATGTCGCTCCGTCTGCGGCGCAGGAGTGCATCCCTTGTGAGGTTGAGAGATTCTGCAGGTGATGCATCTTCGAGTTGCGAAGATCGCTTGCGCCGGCTTACATGACTAGGGGCCGATTGCTCGGCAGAAGGATGTTCCTCTTCATGCCATAGGCCGGGGGTGCGCATTTGACCATGGGCAGATGCATTGCTGACAGCGATGCTAGGCTCAGCAGAGCAACGTTCTCCATCCGCATGCAGAGATCCTGACTCGCCAGACGGAGAAGTGCGCCGACTGCGACTGCCTCGTGATGCTCGTCGAGTGGCTCCACTGAAAAGACTACCGAAGTTAGTCGGCCCTAGGGCTTCAATGATGGAAAAAGGCCGCGACGGCACATCGGAACCAGATGGCTTGACCGTCTTTGAGGATTCCGCTGTAGACATGGACGACTTTGCGCGACGAGGAGGACCAGGTCGGGGTGTCACGGTAGGAGGTGGAGTGGTAAGCTGGGTCGCAGCAGCAAGCTTTGCTGCAGCTGGTTGCACGGCATCGAAATAAGATGCCCAATCGCCTTCATCCACAGGGCTTGCAGTAACGCTCTGGGCTAGTGGGTGTCCTTGACTGCCAATCTTGAGCGGCCGGAGAAATTCCTCGTCCCCTCGCAAACTGGACCGACGGCTGTCGCGGGAGGCCTTCCCGAATGTGCTGTTACTTGAGGCAGAGGATAGAGTCTCGGTAGAAGGTGTTGTGCTCGATGTACGCTTGCGGGGTTCCTTGTCCTTCGATCGACTGCCGAACCATTTGGCGACATTGGACCGAACGCGTTGAATGAAAGGCACTTTGCTAACAGCGCTTGTAACTTCTTCATTCGAGACCTCAATTCGCTTACCCTTACTTTGATAGCCAGGGTCGGTCTCCTCAATCCAGATTCGGGGGTTGGGAAGACCATGGAGAGTCCAAGGGTGGTGTTTGATCTCTTTCAAGGTGATCCTCTTGATCGGGTCTTTGGTCAACAGACGCCTGAGCAGATCGTATAGCTCATCGTCGATATCCTCATAGACAAGCTCGTCATCATTTCTCAGGTTCCACTGGTTGGAGTCGGACGCCTCATCCATCACGGGCACAAGGCGCTTCCGTGGAATGAAGACTTCCTTCTTAACGATGGTCTGGAACATGCTGTACCCATCATCCGAAACGAACGGTAGGCGACCAAAGATCATTCCGTACAATGTGACACCGAGCGACCAAACATCGACCGCACCAGTGATCTTGGGGATCGACCCAATAGTCTCCACAAAGTCATCGCCGGTATAGCATAATTCGGGGGCATAGAAAGCCGGGGTACCGACAGTCTTGGACAATTCACGGGCATCGTCCAATTCTGTCGCATCGGTCTCGCCCACCTGCTCTTCTTCCTCGTCCCGCATTGGGCGTCCCAGGTAGGAAACACCGAAATCAGAGATCTTCACCCGATGATTGCTAGTGACGAGTAAATTGGCCGGCTTGATATCGCGATGGATGATACCTTGGTAGTGGAGGTATTCTAAGCCAAGTACCGAGTCCCGGAATGCGCTGCGGGTTTCAGCGATAGTCAAACAAGGGACGAATGCCATGTCGTCGCCCTCCGCAGACCACTCGGGTTCAGAGGGGGCGTAACCGAAGCTACTGGAGGCTGTGCTGGAACGACGTTCGAAGGGGTAGTCTGAATAGGCGCCATACATGCTGCCCTCGACGGCACTTAGAGACGGGTCCTGGGTGAAGGATGGACTTGAGTCATCTGTTACTGCAATAGAACGGCTAGATGATCTCCTGATGGGAAGAGCGGACTCGTCATCCTCCTCGTCTGAAGATTCCGCACCGTGCTCCAAACTCCAGGCGGGGATTGGCCCTTGCTGGGCATCAGCAGCCTGCGCTTCAATCCGCTCGCGAGCCCTTTCCCGTTGCCGCCGCAGATGCTGAGCAGTTCGAATGAATTGGTGGCTCTCTTCCAGGAACGCAGGAGTGTCTGGGATTCCATTCTTTTCCCGCTCAAGGCGGAGCTTGTCGACGTGAACAATTTCTCGCAGACCCTTCTTGCGCCAGACGATCTCGCCATTTTCAACGTACTCCAGCACAATGTATACCTTTTGTCGATTCGGATCGTCGATGACTTCGAGCAGGCTGACCACGTTTGGATGCCGTGCCTTCTTCAGAATAGCCACCTCCTTCTTCACTTTGTCTTCTGGATTGCCCAACTTGCCTAACCGACGGCGAGTGGAGTAGCGCTGGACAATCTTGATGGCAACCTTCTGCTTAGTTACAACATGCTGACCTAGTTTCACTTTGCCATGTTCACCACGTCCAAGCTCCTCGAGGATCTCATACTGATTGATGGTTTTGTTTCCCGTAACCATGTCCCGATCAACTTCGGCGGTGTGTGTTTCTTTCGGTGGTTGAAGATGTGACGGATGGAGAAGTGAGCTTCCAGTCGAGATGGAATCGTCCGACGCGGATGGCGTTCCCATACGAGAGTGTCTCATGGAGAAGAGACCCGGGCTCGACAGCGGAGTGTTACCTGCGGTACGAATACCACGGGCATAGGAGTGTCTGGGTAGCGGATCTGGTTGTGCGAGGTGGGGTGGTTGCCAGGTGGGATGCACCTGAGACTGGAGGGAGGCATAGGATTGATCGGGGTAAACTGGTAATTGATGATCCGAGTGTCTCGAGGCTCGTCGAGTGGTCCTTCCAATGCTTCCATTTTCCGATCGGACATCGACCACGATACCTTCGTTGAGGGCTTGTAGTGAACTCGATGACGAGCGACTCGAGGGGGTGCGGGCACCGTAAAGGCTGGGGAAGGCCTGACGGAAGGTCGCGGTAGCTTCAGACACATCGGTGATGATGGATGGTTGTTCCGCGGATGATTTGGACGGGGGGCGAGACTCGGGTTGGTCGTTCGACGTAGGTGGTAGTTGCGATGACTCGTCGGACCGGCTGAGGTTTCGCTTGTGACTTTTTGAGACATGACGATTCCGAGCCAACTGATCCGGATCCTCCAGACCAGCTTGCGAGGACCGAATTTCCGTCATATTCCCTTCTTCCTTATTTTGTGATATCATTTCAAAGGGAGAGGGCCGAGGCAGCTGTGCCGATAGTGCAGTTGAGCATCCTAGTTGAACATCCTCCAATTCCACACTTTTTTGGGGAGGCTCCCCTCGTAATAACTGGTTCAAGGTGAGCTGACGAGAAGCTCTGTTGGCACGCACGAACAGGTCGGCATTACTTTCGTGAGGTGAAAAGGGATGGCGACAACTATGCAACGGAAACCGTGTACCGGACAGCGGCTGTCGCCTTAAGGG